CTACTGTCCACGTTTCGACACCTACATTCCAGCTTGTGTTTTTAAGTGTTGTCCAATTGTTTGTCCACTAGCATAAAATAAATCTATAGCTAGGGTCATAAACCAGAAACCAGATGGTAAACGAGGACATGCATGTACAATGACGCACATTTTGTTCAGGTCATTTTATTTACACTTGATAAGTCGTTTTTTGTTAATAACACTGCTTTTATGTTTTTAAGCATAACCTTTTTTTTTCCTCTAAGCTTACCAGTTCATGGTAATGCTAATGGTCTTAATTAGCACAGACTGCATAAAATGTTTAATGACGTTCACAGCAAACATTAAACTAGGAGGTGATTTTTCAGAGAACCTTAAGGTCAGTCCCTACAGCTTTTTAAAATAAATCTCATGGTAGCTGACCATTCACAGAAAGCTGAACTCATACAGAAACTTCTAAATTGTACCATAAACCTACCATGCATTTAATTATCAAATATCCATTTACCTGAAGATGCACAAAATACTGTTAGAAGTTTACCTTCCGTACAAGAGTACATTTTTCCTATTTCAGTTATAGCAGCCTTCCCATACCTGAAGAAGGCCTACAACAAAGCTGGAGAGGGACTTTTTACAAGAGCGTGTAGTGATAGGACAAGAGGGAATGGCTTTAAACTGGAAGAGGAGAGATTTATATTAAAAATTAAGAAGAAGTTCTTCATTATGAGGGTGGCGAGACACTGAAATAGGTTACTCAAAGAAGTGGCTGCCCCGTCCCTGGCAGTGTTCAAGGCCAGGTTGGACAGAGCTTGGAGTCGCCTGGTCTAGTGGAAGATGTCCCTGCCCATGGCAGGGCGGTTGGAACTAGATTGTTTTTAAGTTCCCTTCCAACCCAAACTGTTCTGTGATTCTATGACAGACCTAGCTTCACAGTCCTGCGGGGCTCAAGCTTCTCTAAGTATGCAACAGTGTTTTGCTTGGAAAATCTTCAAAAGATATCATTCAGCCAAAGATACAAGTCTTATGAGGAATTGGGCTGTACAGCTGGAGAAAAGAAAGCCCAGGGGAGATCTTGTCCTTTTCTGTGACTACCTGAAAGGAGGTTGTAGTGAGGTGGGGTTCGGTCTCTTCTACAAGTCAGTGCACACACTATTCTGCAGCCTAGGTCAGCCAACAGGAAACATGAGAGGTGCAATCATTCAATCCTGCCCCATCCGTGCCTTCCTCCTAGCTTGAAGAAAGCACTTTCCTCTCTCTGAATTTGGTGGTGCAGATTACCCTCTTGAAGGAAAATGCCTGTTTTTCCAGGAATCGTGTAGAGCTCTTATTTGCCATGAATCAGTGGAAAACTATTCCTTCCACAAAACAGTAAGTAGTCAGAGCACACACCAAAGAAAAAGGGGAAGGTGGGTACACAGTGGGTTTGAACCCATGCTTAGCATTCTAGCAGAAAACATCCTAACAGTTATCTCTGGGGCTAAGCTGGGCAGCCTCAACCTCTCCTGATAGAGCTGCGCCATCACACAAGAACCAAAGTTGCCTGAAGTAAGCCAGAGAGAGAATGCAGCTCTCTAACCTGCTGGTCAGGCCACATATGAGCCAGGGATACCCTGAGTTCAGCCTTTCTTCCTAAGACTGTTTATGTATTTGAAGTGAAAAAAGTAAGTGGAGCATGTGCTTTGCTTACTTGTCTTGTGAGTTAGCCAGCAGCTAAACACTGTTTTTCAAGATCACAACTCTGTACTTTGCCACCTTTTGCTAGAATCTCACTTTGAGTATAATTTGTTGGTTTTGACCATCCCCAAATCCTTCTCTAAGTGCTTAAATTACTGGCTTGATTTTTCATGGAGCTATCTAGTTTTTCCAACTTCATCTGACTTAGGATTTTTAGAAGAGAAAAATATAATAAATTTTACATTGGCTATTAAAAAATACTTTTTAGTCATCTCTTCAAAAATATAACTGAGAAAAGCTATTGCATTTTCTGCCTATCCCCTGAAAATTGCTGAGCACAAAATGTAGGGGGGGGGGAAGAGATTTGATGTGGCTTTTCAGTTTTGTTAGAATTACCATCCTCCATAACATACAGCATTGGAGACTATAGTCTGTCCTCTGCTAGAAACACTATAGAGGTAGCTATATAGTAATTAACAAGTAATGCTCTGTAAAATTGTGGGATTTTTTTTAAATTATATGTCAACTACTTAACTAGTAGATACCTAGATCCTGATGTTACAGTACCATTCCCTCGAACAGCCTATCTGACCAATAGGGGTTTTATTCTCATGCTTCTAAAAGAAGAATAAAACATTTCCATGGGAGAAAGAACTGGTTGACTAAGAACTGGTTGAGAAAGAACTGGGCTAAGCTACACATCTACAGTTCAGCCAAACCCTGACATCACATCTCTTGACTGCAGACGCCAACAACCACATCCATTACATCATTATTTGTATAATTAAGCACTGCTGTTCTACTAGAACAATAAACATCTTGTCTATATCATGCCACAATGGTATCCAAGCACACCACCAGCTCTAGTGATGGATGAATAAAATACAACTATAAATTTCAGCTACATAAATTAAATAAATTATATTCTGATAGTTCAATACAAGTGAAGCACAAAAAGAAAAAATAAAATCATAGCAGAGCTTTTCTACATGTAAAGAATTAAAAACTTTTGAAATAAGCAGTTACTATTAAAAAAATGATTGCCAAAGGTGCAGTTGGACTTCCAAATAAAGATAACCTAGAAAATCTATGCCCTCAGCTGCTTCTCAACACAACTCTGAAATACCTCATTGCCATCCAGCTGTTTTGGAGTATTCAGGAAAGCTGGATAAGAAAAACAACTCACTCAATGAGATCACAGTTAGTGAATTACTGTATACTATAATAATTATTTTTTTTTCTCCTTATGATAGAATTATAAATCCTATTGGGTTTACTGTGGTTAACAGAGGCTATATTAAGGACATAGGAGCATACAATCCTGCACAGCCACCCATTCTCATTTCTTAGTCAGGCTACTTGAAGTGACAATCTCCGCTGCAAGTCTTGCTGGTAACCTGCCACATGCTGGGATAAGATTTCAGGGTGATACTCAGGAATTGGTGAAGGCTAGGGTAGTAGGAATGCGATCAATGTATACCTTAGCACTTCCTCAAAGCCTAAAGCTCTAAAGGATCCCCTTCATTTAGTTAATAAGTACAACCATAATATTCCTATGAACCATGTCATGATATCAGGCATCTCATACTTTATTTCATGAAATATTACCATTATGGGATATGCACTTCCTACTTAGTGGGAAACAGAAACATCTGCAGTGATACTGAAGTTAGTAGTTTGTGATGGCTTGAACTACAAAACATGCGTCCCTTCCCTGAGAGTCCCTCTTGCCATCATCCCTACTGCAATATGCACACAGACAGTTACTTTGAGCAGATGGCTTTCCCTAGTAATCTTGTGCACTATAATTGCATTTTGTGTTCAACATTTTGGAAGTCTTGAGATGGTGTTATTGTGGACTGTCTTGACAGATGTATTTGAAATAATTGTGTAGGCTCTGAGCTCTTGAGACAGCTGTGGTCAGGTGTAATACATTAGTTTTTCAAAGAACACTCTGCCAGCAAACTTCTGGTCTTATGCAAAACACCAAGTGGTGTGAACAGAGTGGGCAACTTGCAGCCAAGTTTTAAATGTTGGCTACTGTAATTAGTAAAACCAAAAGACATCACTTTTACTGCTGGAGGCTAATAAGGGGAGGTCCACACCTACAAGCTACAACAGTTTAACTAATATTAAAATATCAAGCCAGCACAAATCCTTGTGTGGGCACTTTCATATAGATTTCAAACAATTTCTGTTGGTTACAGGTGCAAGCTAAACCAGTAAATTGGGTTTAAATAGGCTTAAATTTGAAATACAGAGAAATATTTACTTAGCTAAATGAAATTTAAACAGCTTTTTAGCCAAGCCAAAGTAAATGTACATGTAGCATTTTCCCAATTTATTAAAAGTGCGCTATTTTCCTTCTACTTAGGGACAATAAATAGAGCCACACACAAACAGTTCAACTTTTACACAGTTGAGAGACTGTGAGAGACTCTATAGGTCTCAGTTTATCCATAAACTTCCCAGAGGCCTGCACACAGGAGACTCATACTCTTTACAAGATTAGGACATTCTTGGGAGTTTAAGTAAGTAATTTCCCCCCATTTCCCCCATTCTCCAAGCCTATACAACACATCACTGAATGCTTGCATTAAACGGCTTCCACCTAGCTGCTGGAGAATAAGTGCTAAATGTGAGCAACTGAACAAGGAAATCAGATCAGGAGCAGTACACAGAAAAAGAAGCCAAGAAGAAATTGAGAGTCTCATAAGAAGGCTTAAGTGTTTACCTTTAAAGTTTAACTTTCCTTAGCTACACCTTCTTCCTTTATCCTGTATTGCTCATGTCCATGGCAAGCTCTTCAGGACAGAGTTCATCTGCTACCCTGTAGATGCAGTAGAGGTTCTCACAATGAGACCCTTTCTTGTGATTAAGGTAATTACCATAATAAGAATCCCAGTGGGACACATAATGGCTGCACCTTTGCCTACACAGGTGCAATTGAGACTTCTGTTTGGGGTCAAGTCAACACAGGTCTTTGGTTGCCTAATGCATGAAGCTCCTGAGGGGTTTTTTGTGCAAGCTATGAAATATTTCTTGTAGGTGGTCAGTACCAGTTTATTTATTA